CTCTCTCTCTCAGGGAGATATCTGTACACTGACTGGTGTCTCTCAGTCCCCCCTCTCTCTCTCAGGGATATATCTGCACACGACTGGTGTCTCTCGGTCCTTTCATCTTCACTGATTTTTTTGATCTTTCACAGCTGGTCGTATGTAGCACTGATGTTAAAAAAAAAATGGTAAAAAGGGGAACTGCAGAAATGTGAAATGAGGGAGGTTAGAAAAAGGAGGGAGATTTCAGAACCCGGGTGAGAGGAGTGGGTGTGGGAACGCTACTCAGAGAAACAGGAAGGGCCATTCACTCTATTGGACTAACACACCATGCAGTGAGATCATGTTCCAGCTGTAACTGAAGTCCAGTTTGCACCTTTCCTCGCTGTCTTTATAGCCTTGGTAAATAAAATTTCACCTCTAAATTAGACTGATAAATTGATCACAGGAGCCAGGAGATGGAAAGGCAGCGGGGATTTGGGGGAAGGTGGTGTTGGTTGCAAGGGGAGCAAGAGAGATGGGTGAGAAAGAGAGTGAATGGAAAAGCAGAGAGGATGGGGGAGGGGCGGATGGTTCGAGGGAGGTTTGAGAGGAGTAGAGGGAGTGGTGTGGAGTGAGGGGAGATGGGAAGAAAGTATGGGGCAAGAGGAGGGAAGGGCAGAGCGAAACCGTACATAGCCAGGAGAATGATGAGCTGCAAGATCGGTATGGGATGAGGAAAATGAATGGACTGCAGGCCAATTTGTGAGTAACACAAAGCAGGGTGGGACGGAAGGTGATGAGGATGACACAGAGAGTCTGCAGAGGGATACAGACAGGTTAATAATGTGGGTGAAAGCTCAGCAGATGGGATGTAATGTGGGACAATGTCAGGTTATGCATTTTGGCAAATATTATCTTTAGTTCAGAAAGCAGCAACACAGAAAGATCTGGGTGTCCCCATTCATAAATCACACAAAGCTACTATCCAAATTCAGCAGGCAATGAGAATGTTGGCCTTTATTTCAAAGGGAATGGGCTGTAAAAGTCAGGAGGTTTTGCTAAAACGATACAAGGTGCTGGTCAGAACACAACTAGAATACTGTGAACAGTTTTGAGCCTCTCATTGAAGGAAACATATACTGGCGTTGGAGACAATCCAGGGAATGTCCACTCACTGATCCCAGCTATGGACGGTCTGTCTTATGAGGAAAGGTTGGAATAGATTGGGTCTGTATTCACTGGAGTCCACAAGAATGAGAGGCGACCTTATTATAACATACATGATTCTTAGGGGGCCTTGACAGGTGAGATGTGGAGAGGTTGTTTCCCACATGGGGGAGTCTAGGGCCTGAGGGCATCATTTTAGAGTAAGGAGTCACACATTTAAGACAGAGTGAGGAGGAATTTCTTCTCTCAGAGGGGAGTGAATCTGTCGGACTCTTTACCACAAAGGGCTGTCGAGGCTGGGTCACTAAGTAAATTCAAGGCTGAGATACTTAGATTTTTAGTCAGTAAGGGAATGGAGCGTTCTAGGGAAATGGCAAGAAAGTGGAGTTGAGGTTGATCAGATCAGCCATGATCACATTGAATGGCAGCACAGACACGATGGGCCAAATGGCCTACAACTGCTCCTACACCTTACGGTGTAAAATTCCCGTTTGAAAATGCGGTGCCTGTTTACTCCACATTTAACTCTCAGTTCAGAGCACAAAGCTATGAAAGGGCAGCTGAACTGCACAGACTCTCACAGATGAAAGAATGTAGAGACAACGCCACAACTGATTGACATCCTGAAATATTCGATCCCCATTGAGCTAGCTTTTGGGAAGTTGGACTGTCTTCAACTCTTTCCTCCCAGTCCCATCTGATCTTCTGAGCAAATTTTCAACATGTTGCCCTGAGTTAATGCCGATGAGGCACTGTGCATCTTCACAAGTGAGCCTGGACCGCGGACGCCAACAGCTATTAGACTGGAGGGGAATCACATCTGTATCTAATTCTGCCCTCCCTGAGCAATAATTGGAGCATACTTACATCCTGACTATTCAAGTATGTTGTCTCCATCAGGGCCCCTCAATCCAGGTGGAATTACATCCCCCTGTTCCATCCTCTTCCTGTTTCTCACAATCCCACTTACCCATCCTCCAATCTCTCAGAATCCTACCCACCCGCTCCCCATTTCCCACAGTCCCACCTCTTCACTTTTCTCCAAAAGCCCTCCGTTCCCACCATCCTCCAATTTCCCTCAAACTAACCCTGTCCTGGGCAGCACGGTGTCTCAGTGGTTAGCATTACTGCCTCACAGCACCAGGGACCCGGGTTCAATTCCAGCCTCGGGCGACTGTCTGTGTGGAGTTTGCACATTCTCCCCGTGTCTGTGTGGGTTTTCTCCGAGTGCTCTGGCTTCTTCCCACAGTCCAAAGACATGCAGGTTCGGTGGATTGGCCATGCTAAATTGTCCATAGTGTTCAGGGATGTGCAGGCTAGGTGGTTGGCCATAGGAAATGTGGGGTTACAGGGATAGAGAAGGGTGGAGTGCCTGGGTGGGATGCTCTTCAGAGGATCAGTGTGGACTTGATGGGCTGAATGGCCTGCTTCCACACTGTAGGGATTCTATGATAAATCCTTCAACCCCAACTGACTCACTTCCCTGCTCTCCACCAAACAGATCAACTTGCCTCTCGTCCTCCCTTTATCCTGCCTTCCCTGAGGTATTTAGGCCATAGGCATGATTCCCCTCCATTTGTGCAAACTCCCTGGGCTCCACACAGACCCTCATCCCCACATTCTCATTTTGTTTCCTGGGATCCAAAGCAAGTCTCCAAATTTCCTCGGGTTCCCGACTTTGTCCCATTCCAGGCTCCAAATGGAACTGTGCAGCAGAGAATCTCCTCACAAGTCACCATCTGCCAGAGGATGATCAGGATTCTGATCTGGAGAGACTGGGATCCCATTGGGAAGCCATCAGGAAAGAGATGAGGAAGGGCTGTGTAATATCGGGAAATCAGGACAGGTTCCTGAGGATGTGTCGTTTTAAAAGTTCCACTTTGAATGTCCCAAATCTCTCAGCTTTGATTGGTGGATTGGATGGATTCTGGCAACTTGGTCCCTGAAGAGGTGAGGCCCACCCAAGCCTGCTTCACCATATTCCTCACTGCCTCACCCTCGCACTCGGCTTCCACATCTGGTTCAGAAGAACCTTTCAAAAATACACAGCTCCATCTGCATCCTGCTTCAAGTGGAAATCTGCTTCGGAATACACTCCCTGTACCCTGCCGTTGCACAAGCCAAGACTCATTACATTACCCTCTGTACAACCTCATCCCGACTGCTCCCTCCGTCTTCACTCCCTCCCTCACTCCTCAAACTGTGAGACCCCCCGCCTGACCTTCACTCCCTCCTCAAACTCTGGGATCCCTCGCCTCACTGCTTACACTGGGATCTCTCCTTCTGTAATCTATAGGTTTCTTAAATCTGCGATTGGCTTCCACCTCATTTCTGTTTCTGACAATACTTTGACTTCTCCTGTTGATGCCCTCTCCGGAGGGACAAGCAGCTTTGCTGCCAGTTCTTACCTGCCACCCGTTGAGCCACCAGTCCCTCCAGGTTATAATTTTCTTCCTCAGGCATCCTCGGGATGCCATCGAAGCTGGCAGATTTGACTGGAGCCTGTGGCATGGAGTAAGATGGGGAAGTGGGTCCACTGTAAGGAGTGAATGATGGATCCAGAGACGATGATTTGGTGCTGAGACCTCGGCCATAGCTTGTGACTGTGGTACCATCTGGCTGTGTTAGCTGGGTGAGGTGGCCATAGCTTGGGTAATAGGCACTGCCAGGGTTATAATGCTGCTCCTGAGGGGGGAAGACACTCTGTGGGCCATTTTCCACATGTCTCTGATCTTGCCCTGGTGAGCCCTGATGGATTAGATCAGCCGTGCGTGCCAATGGTTGGGTTGGCGTATGCAGATTAGCAGACACAGTGGTGTTGGAGGATGTCTGGGTGCTGTCCCGATGGTCGGGGGGATGGGGATGTGGAGCGGGCTCATTCTGAAACCTTTGTGCCTGAGACAAGGAAGGGTCGAGGTCCAGCATGAGGATATTGAGGGCCTCAATGGACTGTTCAATCTCCTGCTGAGAGGCCATCCTTGGGAACTCCGGGATGTTATGGCTTTGCAGCGTGGGTTCGGAACTGCTGTGCTGTGGGCTTTGAGTTCTCAAAGTGTCGCTGGGTCCCTCAGGTAGTCCATTGGCCTGTGGGTATGGTGGTGACCACCGGTCCAGCTGCTGCCAGCTGCTCAGGCCTCTTTGCACAGCGTCTCTGCTGCTGGTACTGCGTTTTGGTGTCTGGGGCACTGGGTCATGCCTGGAGTTGTCAGGCATACTGAATGACTGTGAGCGGTACATGGCGTTTGGTGCGGTTGGGTAGGACTGTTGGACAATGGCAGTCTGAGGTTGTTGGACACAGCTCGGCATTGTGTAAGTGACTGGCTGAGGGCTGGAGATGACAGGAACCAAGTGACCCCTCGGGGGTGGGGTTTGGTTGGGCTGTGTGATGCTGATGCTCCTTGGGATGTTCTTGGTGTAACCCGACTCCACCAGCTCTGGCTCACCGTAGCCCCCTCGTTGGAGTTTGTTGGTGTAACCCAATGGTGGCCCGTTGGACACGAGTGCGGTCTGGTCCATGGGAGGACACTCGCGGTAATTTGCCTCCCCCGCGGCTGAAGGGTAGGCACCGTCAAAGGAAGAGAGGGTCCCCACGCTGTCGATACTGTTCAGGTCATGGTTGGGCAAATCATCATCCAGAATGTCCGTTTCCCGCTCAGCACTGGCCAATGGCAGGTCTCCGTTGACGTGAACCTGGGCAGGCACCAGCACATGGTGCGCCGCAGCGGCCCGGGTGTGCATGGGCACCTCACTGTCCAGCCCGAAACCACTCAGCAGGCGAGCAAGTTCTCTCCTCTCTTCTGGCGTGATGCCCTGGGCACTGGCGGCAGGTGGTTCGTCGGTCTTGTCGGTTTTGGTGGAGGCGGTGGAGTTACCTGAATCACTGCTCACCGAGAGGGTGTGCTCAATGTGGTTGGGCACCCCGGGTAAGGGAATACCATTAGCAGTAACTGGATTGGCCGTGCCATCAGTTGAATCCTTCTTCTTTACTTTGGCGTACAAACTCCCGTCCAAAGGGCCCTGGGTGTGCACCACATCTACAACAAAGCACAAGGGAAACCCATCAAACAGTCATCAGATTAACAACCAGATCATCGTTACTTATAGTGCCGTCTGAGTGGTACAGACCAGGCACCAGAAACAAATACGAGGGTAGAAACCCACAGAGACAATGCAGGCTCAATGGTACAACTTTGAGGGGAGTGCAGGAACAGAGGGATCTGGGGATTCACTGATTCTCTGAGGGTGGCTGGGCAATTTAAACAGATGTTAAGAAGGTTAATAGGATTCTTGGGTTTATAAATAGTGGCATAAGAGTATAAAAGCAAGGAAGTGATGCTACGCCCCTACAAATCATTGGTCAAACCACATTTGGCGTATTGTGTTCAGTTCTGGGCACCTTATTTAACATAGATACATAGAAACATAGAAGATAACAGCAGGAGGAAGCCATTTGGCCCTTCAAGCCTGCTCTGCCATTCTTCACGATCATGGCCGATCATCCAACTCAACAGCCTAATCCTGCTTTGTCCCCATAACCTTTGACCCCATTCTCCCCAAGTGCTATATCTAGCCGCCTCTTGAATACATTCAATGTTTTGGCATCAACTACTTCCTGTGGTAACGAATCCCACAGGCTCACCATTCTCTGGGTGAAGAAATGTCTCCTCATCTCCGTCCTAAATGGTCTACCCTGAACCCATAGACTGTGACTCCTGGTCCTGGACACACCCACCATCGGGAACATCTTCCCTGCATCTACCCTGTCCAGTTCTGTTAGAATTTTATAAGTCTCTATGAGATCCCCCCCATTCGTCTGAACTCCAGCGAAAACAATCCCAACCGAGTCAATCTCTCCTCATACGTCAGACCCGCCATCCTCGGATTCAGCCTGGTAAACCTTCGCTGCACTCCCTCGAGAGCAACAGCATCCTTCCTCAGAAAAGGAGACCAAGGAAGGATGTTAAAGCCCTGGAGAGAGTTCAAAGGAGATTTAACAGAATGATACCAGGAATGAGGGATTTTAGATATAAAGAAAGGTTAGAGAGATTGGGTTTATTCTCCTTAGAACAGGGAAGATTAAGAGGTGACTTTATTGAGGTGTTCAAAATTATGAACAGTATTGACAGAGTAAAGAGGATATTGTGTTTCCACTAGTTGGTATGTCAGGAACTAGGGGGTCACAATTTCAACACTATCAGCAAGAGAGCTAGGAGTGAGATGAGGAGAAACTTCTTTACTGAGAGAGTTGTTAGGATTTAGAATGTGCTGCCTGAGAGAGTGGGGGAGGTGGATTCCACAGGAGGTTTCAAAAGGGAGCTGGATATATATTTAAAAGGGATGACGTTAGAGGGCTATGGAGGTAGGACTGGAGAGCTGGGCTAACTGAGTAGCTGTTTCAGGAGTCGGTACAGACACAATGGGTCGAACAGCCTCCTTCTGTACGATATAACTCTATGATTCTATAAGAACACATCTGCTCTTCAAAATAGTGTTCCCCAACCTGGGTCACAACAGTGCCTCTGACAGTACAGCTTTCCCTCAGCCCTGCCCTGGTAAGGAGCAGCCTGGATTACATACTCATATCTCTGGAGTGGACCTTTTGAATGACAGTTTGGGTGGGAGCGAAGAGCTGAGCGATATTTAAATGCAATGGGCCAGAAATTGCTCTAAAGGCAATGGTGTGTGAAATAATGAACAGATCATCCAGAAATAAGAGATAACAAGGTGTAGAGCTGGATGAACACAGCAGACCAAGCAGCATCAGAGGAGCAGGAAGGCTGACGTTTCGGGCCTAGACCTCTCAGATCATCCAGAAACCTCTGTTAAGGAAGAGATCCTTCATGAATTGCAAAATTGTCTCAAGTTTCTGGACGAAGTGTACTGTTCCAATGTTCGCTTTGTGAAAATAAGTGTCTTAAAACAATACCCGACCCTCCTCAACAAAAACAAAAAGTGCTGGAGAAACTCAGCAGGGCCTGGCAGCATCTGTGGAGAGAAAACATAGTTAACATTTCGGATCTAGTCAGACTTCTCTTCAGAACCGAAGAATGAAATGTGAAGTCTAGTTCAGAAGAAGGCTCACTGCACTCGAAACAGTAACTCTCTCTCTCCCTTTTACTCCCCAAACCTACTGCGGTTCTCCAGCACTTTCTGCTTCTGCTTCAGGATTCCACATTTCTTTTTGTTTGATCCGAGCCTGCTTGCTGTATTTCAAAATTAATTGCCTGTAAATTACAACATGGAATTGTCTGTGGTTGATTCAACACTTGAAATAACCTCTTCGCCGAGAGTTAATGATGAGGGTTAATACATTTCTCTACTCCAGAAAGTGAACAATTAACAGTGCAGAATCCAGTTCCTTCAGGTAACAAAATATTTGGTAAGGTTTTAAATGTGTCAAATTTAATTAAATAAGATGCATTTTTCCTTTCTCATTTACTCCAAATAGCCTTTCCCCTCTCTTGATTTCTTCCTTTTCCTGATTTGATTCCAATTCACCCAATCCTTCCTCCCTTTTCCACTTTTAGAATCATAGAATCCCTACAGCATGGAAACAGGCCATTTGGCCCAAACTGTCCCTTCGGAGCATTCCACTAAACCCATCCCCACTGCCCAATCCCCATAACCCTGCATTCCCCATGGCTATCCCACCTAACCTGCACATCCCTGGACACTATGGGCAATTTAGCACGGCCAATCCACCCAAAACTGCACATCTTTGGACTGTGGGAGGAAACCGGAGCACCCGGAGGAAACCCACGCAGACACAGGGAGAACGTACAAACTCCACACAGTCAACCAAGAGTGGAATTGAACCCGGGTCCCTGGTGCTGTGAGGCTGCAGTGCTAATCACTGAGCCACCGTGCTACCCATAACTTACAGTCAGGAGACCACATTCTTCAATATGGTCGCAAATACCCCATTGCCCTTGCTGCATTGTCCCACTGTGTGGGGTTTTTCTTTATCTGTTCATGGGATGCGAGTATCACTGGTTAGGGCAACATTTATTGCCCATCCCAAATTGTCTTGGAGAAGCTGATAATTGGCAAATAATGTTCACGTCACACAAATGCCAGGCTATGACCATCACCAAGAAGAGACAATCTAACCACCGTCCCTTGACATTCAATGGTGTTACCGTCACTGAATCCCCGACTATCAACATCCTGGGGGTTACCATTGACCAGAAACTCAACTAGACTCACCACATAAACACAGTGGCTACAAAAGCAGGTCAGAAGCTGGGAATACTGCAGTAAGTAAGTCACCTCCTGACTCCCCAAAGCCTGTCCACCATCTACAAGGCACAAGTCAGGAGTGTGATGGAATACTCCCCACTTGCCTGGATGGGTACAGCCCCAACAACACTCAAGAAGCTTGTTACGATTTTGGCACATCCACAAACATCCCACTCCCTCCACCACCGAAGCTCAGTAGCAGCAGTATGTACTATCTACAAGATGCACTGCAGAAACTCACCAAAGATCTTCAGACAGTACCTTCCAAACCCATGACCACTTCCATCTAGAAGGACAAGGGCAGCAGATACATGGGACCACCACCCCCTGCAAGTTCCCCTCCAAGTCACTCACCATCCTGACTTGGAAATATATCGCCATTCCTTCACTGTCGCTGGGTCAGAATCCCTGGAATTCCCTCCCTAAGGGACATTGTGGGTCAACCCACAGCACATGGACTGCAGCGGTTCAAGAAGGCAGCTCACCCCCACCTTCTCAAGGGGCAACTAGGGACGAGTAATAAATGCTGGGCCCAGCCAGCAACACCCATGTCCCATGAACAAATATGAAAAATACTTGCAGGTGGACACAAAGAAATTTTGAGCATGGATTTTGAAAGTAAACAGGGTAATTTGACAGCTCTCCCTGGTCAGTGAGGTACATTGCTGGCAATTTGCAGCCAGCAGGATATAAAGGGTTACACACTGCACACAAAACCCACTCTCAGCCTGTCTCCTGGCTAGGAGGAAGAGCACAGCAGGATTCCACGTTGCTCGTGTCTCTCTCCAGCAGCCAGGAATAAACTGCACACGCCCAACTCTCCCACCTCCTGGAAAGCAAGGTGTTGCCGTCGGTCCTGTGTGCCTGATCACCGTTAGCCCCAGCGCATAAACCCAGCCTTCCCCAACACCTCCGAAAAGCGCCGCTCAAATCTCAATTAAAGAAATAGGCAGCTTCAACCCCGCGCTCGCCTGGGACTGATGAACAGCAAAGCTTGCAAAAGCATCTAAAAAGCCTACCTCCTCTGCGTTGTCTGCCACCTCAAAGCAGAAAGATTCCCTCTCCGTGTTAAAGCTGACAGTTCCAGAAAGGGAAACAGAATTCAAAATCCACACCAGAGATAAAGGGAGGGTGGAACTTAGAGGAGAGAGGGAGAGAGACTGCTATTCTTGCAGTCACTGTGCATGAGTGGGAAGTGTTTTGCTGATGACTGTTCTATAAATTCGGCCTCCACCTGGTATACACTCATCAACTCGGAGCTATGTAGTTGCGAGTGACATCAGCTCCTACACAGAATCAGATCCTCAGTCCGGAGAAACACAACATACTCAGGAAAACTCATTCCCTTTCCAACCTCCACAACACAGGCATGGAGAGATCCCAACGATCGGCGGACGTGAATTTTCCAGCTGTCCGTTCCACAGGAAAAGCAACATTGGAGGGTTTTTTTTCTCCCTTCTCTGACTTGAAACTTTTATTTAAGACACTCGTCATGATTCAGAGCTCTGGAATTTTATCGAAGGAAATAGAAGCTGGACAGAGAAAACACAATGTCCCATTCCCAGATATCTGTGTAACGAGACACACTGACAGCACACAGCTCCATGGATGGCTGCATGTTCACCGCAAGTGTCTTATGTTACAGGCACAAGTTCCCAAGAGGGTGACTTGGCATAAAGACGGGAGCCAAAGTGCGATGGGTACATTTACTTCACTATTCATTCATGGTGTAGTTGTTGGAATTTATTACCAAGACAGCAATAAACATCTTGCTGTGGGTTTGGAATCACACGTA